ATCACTGACCATAAAACAGAAACTGAACCCATCACTTTAGTTGCTGAACAAAAAGAACGTCTTGTAAAGACACCATCTGGCAGTGAACAGTCATTTAAGAAAAAGAAACAAGACTCACAAAAAGACACTTAAGAGTGGCACTAAAACCAGCACCATGACCACCCTCGACAAGTTTCTAAACCAAGGAACTCCGATGTCTCGTAAATCAAGACAAATGGCCGAAGAGGTGCGTACACCACCAACTCTTGACAGAAATGCTGGAGGCTGGAGGAAAAGCAAAGAAAAAACCAAAGGACGATAAAGTAAATAACAAGGTGTAAATGTAATGTAGATCAATGAAAAATAACTTTTGGGATTTGTATCCTTTTTCCCTTCCAGATCTACAAATACAGTATCCATGAGAAAATACAATCACAGTAAATATATAACAGAGAAAGTAGAAATTAAGTTAGAAATATGTTTATTTACAATGTAGAAAATTTCACTAAAACAATCCAACATGGTAATATATGTATGAATCACGAAATATATTCTATACAGAATGTATGCCATATTAACTACATAAACAGTATACATGCATTTACATTGTACATATATCAACAAAAAACAACACCATGTTAATTGTGTCATACAATGTATAATGTACAAACATAATGAAAACAACACATACAACAAAATGTTACATATGACAATCATAATCTAAATATCAAAATATTAAATGCGTCTTACAAGGTGTATATGTATAAATGTATGTATAATAAAAAATACCTGTATATTACAGGATAAAACCCATAAAATTATTAATCAGTTAAAAACAGATATTTTCAAAATATTAAAAAATTCAAAATAAAATACAAATTGCACTGTATAACGCTAAAAACACAAGGTCTCGGAGAAAAACAAAAACATAGCACATTATTTATATCTATAACACATCTACATCAAATTTATAGGCAAACATCCAATTCAAAGAGGCATATTATTTTTTTCCCCAATATACATACATTTTTAGGGACTTCATTTAATTGTGGTCTTAGTCCTATTATAGGACACTTTTTTTCCTTAAATTAAAAAAAAAATTCGGACAATGTTGTATACATCAGTGTACAATAGCTAATACCCTCAAATCAATAAAAACTTAATTAAATTTTCAAATCTTACATGCAGTCACTGAACCCTAAATGACCATAACACACATTTGAATTTAAACAGCCACCTGTTGGCCATCTTGAATTCGAATCAGTCCATTAAAGGTACATTGCACAACTAGGGACCAAGGGGAAACTGCATATGAAATTTGAAGTACTTTTCCAGAAATTAACAAACTTTTACTTCCAAAATCCAAGATGGCCACCTGTCGGCCATCTTTTCCAAAAAAGGTACAATAGGGCGGGAACCTGCATATGAAATTTGAGTAGTACTTTTCCAGAGTAACAAGAATTGTTTACGGACGGACGGACGGACGGACGGAGGGACGACGGACCACGGACGCAAGGCGATTTGAATAACTAATTGGCTAAAAATCCATAAACATAACTTTTGCAGTATATTCTGTGGTGTGCTTTTGCAACTTACATGTGCAACTGCTTTGATGAAGCTAAGACAGTAAAACAACAGACAAATATTAAAAAAAAAACCCAAAGGATATTCAGGTACATACACATATATCATTGTATGTTTTGTATGAAGCCAGTGTTAATATCCGACAGAATTTGTACCTGTGCATTGTTTGAGGTATACATAAGCAGACTGGAGTTAAGTGGTCTTCATCCTGAAAGTAACATCAAAGTTGACGCCAACACTGTCCATCGGTATGGCAATGTAACCTGGCACCCCTCCAAAGGTTGCTGTTCGCAGCATCTGTAAACAAGATGTTATTACAAATGTAGATGGTGACGAAAAGAAACAATAAAATCACTGAGAATATATATTTGGATCGAACAAAGAGTGTCACAGAGACCTATAAACTAAAGTCCAGTTAAAAAGAATTAAGAACATTCTACATGATTTCTCCACCAAATCATCAATGGAGTTTAAGGGACAGATATTTCCACAAGTTTATAGGACAGACTTACCATAGGATTTATAGTGACAAATAGTCCCATCCTCAGAGTTTAGCGGACAGCTGGTCCCACCAGTTGAGTCAAGGGGGCAAATCACGCCACAAGTGGAGTTTAGGGGAGAGATAAACCTAACATAGAATTTTAGGGGGAAAATTAACCTACCATAGGATTTTAAGGAACAGATCATCGTCCCATATAGGAGTTTTAGGGGACAGATAGACCCTTGAGTGGAGATTTGGGGACAGAATTTCCCACTACACCTCCATGTTACACCTACCTGTTCAGGACATCCACGAACAACTCCTTTAGCCTCTTTGATAAGATCCCAGATTGTACTATCAAACTGAACATCCCTAATGCAGCCACGGAAACCCTGGGGACTCACATATCTGAGAAAAAAAATAACCACATGAATTTCATCAATGATGCATTGATCACACGAAAGGAGTTTTATGCATTGGGCTACTGTACAAACAAGCATAACAATATCACTGTAGTGTTCACTGAAATTTCACTCGTACTTAAGCGAACATTGTATAAGGATATATTTTCATTTTTGTGAGTACTGTTAATCCATGTATTCTTATCTCCATGCACTGTTAAAATAAGAAGACTTATTCAGCCACATTTATCAATGAAATCAAGAATTCATGAAGTTGTAATTTTTTCCAACAACTGTGAAAATTTAACCCCACAAAAATATGTGATTTTCATGTATTTAAATTATGTTAATTGATAAAATTTCATGTAAAAAATCTGAGCCTGAAATTTTAATTCTAGGATTCACACTAGTTCAATATATCAGGTACCGTATAGCTATTCCAAACTGAATTTGTTTCAAAGCCTGTGTCTTTAAAAATGAATGGATGAATTTTTTACAAGATAAAAGGGAATAAGATGAGTTGGAGTGTCAAGAATGCTCTCCTCTCTTGGGAATTTTTGAGACAAACAGGGCATTTTCACTGATATTGTTTTTTTTAAAGGTGAATTCATGACTTTTAAGATAAAGACTCTTTTGGTATCAAGTAGTGGTTGACTAAGGATGAATTCCTAAGAAAATCAGTAAGTGAGAAGTTTCTTAAAAAGTTTCCATAAGGGGCCATAACTCTAGAGTACAAAATGACGGCCAAGGTCAACACTGTATTCTCTTGTAATTTAATGACAAGGGCATCAAAAAAGATTTTACAACTGTCAAATACTATTCCTTACAATCTAATAACCACAAGAAAAAGGCATGTTTTAGCCATCTACAAGTACTTACTTTACAGGCATGACGAGCTCATTGAACCCTCCAATGAAGATATCATCAGTGTATGACAGAGAAGCCAGTGTTCCGGGTGAGCGACCCTCAATTCCATCTGAAACGCATAGAATACATACATATCAACTTATTGGGCATTTGTTTTTACTGATTTTTCGTATTCAATGATACATAGAACATATTGAACTTTAATGCAAGTTAGGGACATTGTCGTCACAACAATGAGAAAGATTTTTTTAATCTGAACAGAAGCACCCTGAAAACCTGTACTGACCTTCTTCATCGACCCTAAGGAATCCAGTTTGTTTATCGCGGGCTGCTTGAATCTTATGCCAGGCTCCATCATTATAGGTTTGTTCTGTCATCAGTTTGGCTGGCATTCCTCCTAAATCATACTGAAACAATACCTTGCCATCATTTAATTCGATGAGCTGAAGTCGCGTCCCTTCCCAATAAAGAAGAGAAGTCCATTACTGGCATAAGTCTTGAAATGCAGGATAATGGTAGCCTTCTGTTGGGGACGGAAATTAATCTCCTTGGCACTCACAATGGCATAGCCATTACCGTTAAAACTAAAGCCATTGGACTTTTCTTCCACCAGTACATTCCTGGATGTTTAGAAAATTCTGATGAAATAACAATACTTTTTATGTTTGAGAAATAATTGATTTTATATCAGAAAGAAGATCCTTCATTCTTACTTATAAAAATGTGTTAATTTAGTTGTTTAGTTATTTTTCGGTATTCAATGTACTCATGTCCTTCTGATATGTTTGCAGTTTAAGGTATCTCTATTTTATTCCACTTGCATCTTTTATCTTTCCCAATAATCAGTATATCTAAACATAAATCTATGGAAGCCCTCTTCTTACCAAGGCACAGAGATTATGTCAGACTGTTAATGGTATCAACTTACCTCTCTACAGCACCAACGTAATTATTATCACCATACACAAAGTTCCAGATTCCCATTGGCTGGCTGTCAAAGGCCACACCCTCCATTGCGCCCTCATAGTAGTTTGAACCCATCACTGATCTAGGCAGCTGTTGACATATATCAGCAACATAAGCATACAATTATCAGACATTCAGCTATATTAGAAATTTCAAACCTACTCAATTTGATTGTATATTCTGGTGTTAGATGTACTGGACAAAATAACCACCAGATTTACACATAAGAGGATGTGCTGCATTCAACAGCAAAGTGACTACTGTAATAATCTAGCAAAAATATTATGTCTGGTAATAAGTCAGCCATGTATTGCTCACACCAACAAAAAACTATTCCATTGTCCAGTTAAAAGCCCACCCCCTCCCCCCCCTTCCACACCCTCACTGTTTCTCAGTCAGAAAAAGTATGTTTTACCTCCCACACACCCACACACTCAGTGTTTCTCAGCCAGAAAAAGTATGGTTTACTTCCAACACACCCACACCTTCACCCACACTCTCACTGTTTCTCAGTCAGAAAAAGTATGTTTTACCTCCCACACACACACCTTCACCACACCCTCACTGTTTCTCAGTCAGAAAAAGTATGTTTTACCTCCCACACACACACCTTCATCACACCCTCACCGTTTCTCAGCCAGAAAAAGTATGTTTTACCTCCCACACACCCACACTCTCACTGTTTCTCAGTCAGAAAAAGTATGTTTTACCTCCCACACACCCACACTCTCACTGTTTCTCAGTCAGAAAAAGTATGTTTTACCTCCCACACACACACCCACACTCTCACCTACTCCCTCACTGTTTCTCAGTCAGAAAAAGTATGTTTTACCTCCCACACACACCACCCCTCCCACACACCTCAGTCTCCTCCCACACCCCCACCTACTCCCTCCCACACATGTTTCTCAGTTTCTCAGCCAGAAAAAGTATGTTTTACCTCCCACACACCCTTACTCACAGCATTTACCATAGTTTTACTTTGCCCTCCACACACATAGAACTTTGTTGTGACAGGCACAGCTCTAATACAGTAAAGGTCCCAGAGGAATTACCACTAGCCTTCACGCTCTCCACCCCAACACCTACATCACGCTTGACTGTCAGTGTACCCGTCTTACCAATCCTGAAACAGCATACAGGAAAATGATTAACATACATCATATATTAAAAGGTCAGGTATCACACAATTCTTTATACAGTAGGCTAGAAAGTCATAATAACGTCAGACTCACCGCTCTGCCACAACCTTATACCACTTGTTGTCGTTGACGCTCCATGGATGACTGATTTCTGCTGGTCCTGACCCCAGGTCATACTTAAACATTACTCGGCCATCGCGAAGCTCCAAGGCCAAGAAGTCCTGCAGACATGAAATTGAAAGAAACCAAACTCAAAATGAACATGCAAATTAAAAAATTCTACCATACAAAACATGAAATATTATTTTGTTGTTTGGTGTAATGTTTAAAGCCAATCATCATTTACTCACTTCAGCAGATCGTTCAGGGATGAATTCTTCACCGATGTAAGCCAGCAGGGCATCACTTTGTTGGGTACGAATGTAAGTGGTAAAGCGACTGTATGACCCAGCCAAGTCAACATCTGGTGGATTTCTAAGGGCAACTGTTGTGTTTCCTAGGAACTCCATTCCAACTCGGATCTGTAATCGTGAATAAAAAACAAGGTTAGCATAGTAAGGTCATGATACCAGTAATTATAATACTAAAATCAGTTTAGTATTACAAGAGGAATTGTCTCTACAAGATTATTGTGCTTATGTCAGGAGTTTAAATCTTCCAGAATATTCGAGGACATGCAAAGGTAGTTATCTCACCCTGTTTGCCTCATCACGGGCTAGTATAATCTTCTCACGGAGATCAGTGATGTTGCCCATAACACTGTCCCGAAGACTACGAACATTCCTAGATTGTGTTCCCACCAGCTCGATCAAGTCCATGATCTGCGGCACTTTCTCTTTCACATCCTGAGCTGTAGTATAGAAACTTAGGTTTAAGTACAAAGTAGGATTCACTGTAAATTTGAATCTGATTTACAAAGACCTTCCTTTTTTCCCGATTTTGTTGAACTCTGACCTCTTAATTTAAATTCTGATATCAATAAGACACTTACTCTGCTGATCAGCGTATTGGGTGTTTTTCTTGGTCTTTGTGGAATCATTGATGAGTTGCTCGACCTTGGCTTTGTTTGACGGCAACTTTCGAATGATGTCATTGACCTTGTTACCGGCATCCTTCGTCATACCACTTGCTTCTTCTGCTTGCATTATGGCATCTTGAGCCCTCTGCCCAACGTTTCCTATCAAGGTATCAAGTCATAAATTATATGACCCATTTCCTAGTTCAAACGTAAGTGTCGTTCATGTTATGATCACAATCAACTGCATTTCTTTATATTTACAAGTTCCTTATTTTGCAGACTATTCACAGTAAATACTTCTGTCGTTGAAAAATTGGATTTTTTTCCCAAAAGTGACTCAGACTAGGATTACAGGTAAAGGTAAAGAAAATTGAAAATGATTTAAATTTTGAAGTTTTCAAATGAGTCTCCATTTCTTGTGTATCTTTCATTTTGTCATACCTTGCAAACCTGCCATATACAACATGTACCCGAATGATAAAGTTTGATGTGAAGAAACATTCTGTCTACCTACCGGTTTCCAGTGAGGGCAGTTGAAAGTTGACATTGTCGAGTTGGTCTTTTGACTCCTGGTTTGTGTCTTCCACCTTGTCTGTGTTGAAGGTTGCATCCTCGAGCCTTTCCTGTAAGTCTAAACACAAAACAAATCTTCTACTGAGTATCTAGATTTCACACCCATATAACTATCCTCTTGTTCTATCAGAAAGTCCAGTAAACTCTTGCCTTACAAGGATTCCTTCTTGTGTAATTAGAAATCTAACACACCTTTTAAACAACTTCAAATAAACTACTCATGGCCCTCCATCCTGACACCAAACTGTCCCCTGACTCTATTATCACACACAGATTAGCAGCAATTTACCTCTTTGTGTTTTCCTAAATTTCAGCCTATTAACAGTATTGCAAACTTTCCCCGAGTCTATCTGATATTTGACTGCCATGAGTGAATCATCTGTTTCAACCATCATAGTTAAACTGGGACAATATTCACAAAACATTTTTCACAAGAAGTAGTTCTGGAGCTTTTTGACAAGATTTTTAAATCACCATTTTCAAAATGTGATTTAACCAACGTGTGCATCCTGGGATAATGAACCATTAACAGTGTTTTTAGCAGCTAAAGCTGCCAGTTGCAGCTTCTAGAACTTGAAGAAGAGGTATAATAATTATGTGATGAATGAAGTATTGTATATAATTACTTATATAAAGTGGATTACTTTTCATATTTTATATTCCATATAATATATAGAAAATGATGTGAAAATGTCGTTATACACATGACCCTTTTAGCCAAGTCATAGAATAAAGATTTTATCACACAATTGAATATGAAACTTTGATTGGATGGACGAAGGGAGGCAAACCATTTTCTTTCAAACAGACAAGTGTTGTAATATGTGCATAGTGGTTTATAATTCTCACAAATGAAATTTGCAAAATTACAGCAACAATTACAAGAAAAAATTTCAAAACACACTTAATCCCTCTCGCAGAGTTAGATGTGTGTAGTTGTGGTTTTTTTTTGTGTGAAGTAATAACAAGGTTCCAGCTTATGAAAACTGTTGATGGCTATAGAAGCTCAGCATCTAAAATTGACCTACCCATGTCAGTCTCTTCAAGCTTCTTTTCAGCAGCAGCAAGCAACTCTGCACTTCTAGCTCTTTTGGAGTCAGCCACTTCCTCAACCCCAAATGACTGCAAAAGTCAGGTTGTTGTTAAATGCATCATACAGACTCATTGCTCTAGAAAAGATTCACAGAATAAGGTGGAAAATTAATAAAATATTTTTATATTCACCAACTTCCTCCAATACTGACACTGCAGCTTTTCACTGGATACTACCTTCTCGGTCATTATTTAACATATTTTATACTGAAATTGGTAAATTTTCAATATTTCTAGGATAAAAATTCCAACATATCAAATAAGTGAACACAAAATATACAAGACTTTGTCTTATATATTACTGCTAATGTAAGATAATATGAATGAGCTGTTCTGTAGTATAATCTCATGCCATCATCTCCCGGGTTTAGTGTTGCCGACTACCATTAATAAATTTGTCAAAATCTGATTGTTAAGCCCAACCATATAAAAGCTTACCCACTGATACATTTCTTTGGTGGTTTAACCATTGATGACCCATGAGCTACCTTTATTCCTTGCTAGGGTGGTTGTGTAGTGAAACAGCTTCATTGATGACCCATGATAAAAGCTACCTTTATTCCTTGCTAGGGTGGTTGTGTAGTGAAACAGCTTCATTGATGACCCATGATAAAAGCTACCTTTATTCCTTGCTAGGGTGGTTGTGTAGTGAAACAGCTTCATCAACACAGTATTTTTTGGATATGAACTCCATTCAATTCACAGATGTAAAAGTTATGATACAGATCAATTAACTTTAGATTGTTTTAGTTTTTGTATTTAATACTGCTGCAAAAGAACTATGCCAATCATCAAGTATGCCACTCTCTCAACCAAAAACAAAATTCCCCTTCACGATATAAGCTTGTGTTTTACACATCAGCTTTGTTAAGGGGGAATAACAAAAATTACAAATGACTATAAAATATATATATTATATTTCCACCATATAAAGTTTGTAGGCACATTTTTTAAGTAAAATTGATAATGTCACATGAATGTCTACAATATTATAGATATTGAACATTCAGTCTTATATATTGCTTTTTATTTTCATGGTCTGTCTAAAGCCATGAAAACAATTAATATTCTACAAAAATTTCATGTTATACAATTTTTTATTTATACAATTTTTTTTACTTAATTATATTGGATATCAGAAATAGTCAGATCAGTGATATTCCATGTATCTAATACCCAGTAAAACACAAGATCCAGAAGGGTTGTAAATCTTATATATAGTTCAACAATACATATTAAGAGGTTTATGAATGGCACTATCACAACTAAAGAATATATTTCAATGTAGCTGTATTCTCTTCTTATTGATCTACATACTTACCTACAAATCAGGATACACTGCATCTAATGGATCCTCTCATAATTTGCATCCAAATTAATTATAATTCAAAAGGAATCAATAATCTTGTCATGCAACACAGAAATTCATTAAAATTGTTTCCTAAAATTGCAACAAGTCCAAGAAAAGAATACACTACAGCTGCAATGTGTTAGTGAAGAGCGTACGAGTTATCCATACATATGTACCAGGAACCTTAAATAGAGGGTATATTACAACACGGCAACCAAACAAACAGAAATCATGTGAACACTTTACAGATATCACAATCAATGAACCACCAATGTTAAACTTCTACCAGTGTTTTCAACCCACGGTCATGTCGAAAAGACAAAAAAAAGGGGAATTATTCTCCAATGTATTTGGAATCAATTCCACAATTCAGTAAGTTATAATTTTAAAATGACTTTGACAAACATCTGTGAGAAGTATACCTCCAAATGGTGAAAGATCTATTCCACTAATCTACCAGTAAGGGGACAAAGAATCAAGGAAAGAAAGGCACATAGGAATTAAGGGTATCCTTTTTAACACGTCCATGTTATTATGAGTTTCTAATCTATTCAAGGGTTTTTTCTCTTCACTCCAAATCTCAATTCTATTCTAGAACTATGATCAAAGTGTTTAACCTGTCTAAACTGAACCCTGTGGAATCAAAGATCATGAATTTGGGTTTGATGTTTTAACTTGTACAGTACTCAACCTAATAAGCATACGTGCCTGATAAACACATCCTCTTTTCTGTTTACTTCACTTTCTATCACCACAATATTTAGCCTTTTATCGCTTTCTCTTCCCTATACCCAGTCAATGTGTAGTATAGCTGTGATTTATGTAACGGTTTTCAAATTTGTCTTGCTTGTTCAAGTCTAGAACCTTTTAAGAAGAAACCTTCCTTATAAAAGAAATGGAACAAACAAACACTTTTAGTGTACTTACATATATCAAATCAATTTGTAAACCTGCATAAACCAGATTTATAATAAATATGCAATGATGAGATAAAAACCTGCACATTCTGTGCATATTTGGACAAAAATATTGGTATGTGTTCAGTTTAGACAGGTTTTACAGTTATATGTGTAATGGAGGAAACAGCTCTTCAAATTCAAAATCATTTTAAGAATCCACAAATATAATGTCACAGACTTTGGTGAAGCATGCATTGTCATTGCACAGCCCTGTTACATTAGGCATTACCAAGGTTACCAAAGAGAGCTGAAGCCTTCGTGTTGTTATGTAAGTAACTATAGTACATATATATATTGTGTATAAATACAAGTCCTTACGGGCATTAGGAACACCTGAAATAAAAACCCCAAAATTAGTGTAACGATGCCGTGCTCTCATCAATAATTAACTCGCAAAGACTGGATGATGCCACTCTCTCAACCAAAAACAAAATTCAATTTAAAAAGACAGAAATAAGTAAATTCTAAATTTCAGAAGAGTAAAATTTCATTTATATTTGTCATTATACTAGGAAAGACAAGTGTCTGTAAAAAAGGACATTTTTTGATGGTAATGAAATGAGAAGGAAAATGGAAACCAGAAGATACATGCACTCCTATCAAAGTTTCTATCATTACAACCACTACAATTCTTTTTAAACAATACACCAGTTCACATACAACACATAAAGAGTGCCCATAAAATGTATTGCGCTTGAAATATGAAAGGGCATTTTTTTATTTCTTCAACTGGTGTTATATATAACATACATATATATACATATACAAAGCAACAAAGACCTAATTTCCTCTCAATTCGTATCAATATAATGCTGTACCATCAAAAGCTTGCTGTTTAAAATCTGACTGATACACCATACCACTGGTAGGACAGCTTTACATGTAACAACAACAATAAAACACACAAGCAAGGCATAGCCTGACAATTAGTGGACATAGCTCAGCATTTAGCAGTATCTAACATCAGCAACTTGCAATTAATTTGCACATAAAATTACATACAATGAAGTCAAATATCATAGTCACTAGTTCATGTGTTACCTTTCCCAGTGCACTGGACGCTGCCCCTGTTGCCGCTTGTGAGGCGTTTTGAGCATCATTGATTGCCATGACAATACCCTCGTAGGCGTTGGCTGCTCGAAGTGCTAGGGCAGCAGTGTCACGTGTGTCTGTGTACACACTGTCAAAAACAAAAGACAATTCACTCTTATCTGATATGGTAGGGCCCACTAAGCAAAAACAAAAATTGGGGTGTTGGTTGGGGAGCTGGTGGTTTGGCAAGTTGGGACTTCTGATATTTCACACGTGTGCTTATGACATGAAAATATATAATCCATCAGTTAATGTTTTCTTTTAGTTCAATACAGAAGTCTAAAACATTACTGTCTTCATTAAAATGAAAAAGAAAAATGAAAATTAGATGACCTTTCTCTTAAGTGTGTTGATAGTTTGAAAATTGTATTTGCCAAAAGAAAAATTAAGGAAATTTGAAATTTGTGAAATCGCTATTGTTTTTTTTAACTTGTTGATTTTACACTATACAAAATACCTTTCCAGCATTTTAGCCTGATCAACCAAGCTTTCTGCGTGTGCCTGTGCCTGCATTTGTTTCTCATCCAAATCACTCAAGCTGCTGTTCAAGTTGTCGTCGATGACTTTCAACTGATTGATACTGTCAGTTAGAGCAGCTGATTGGTCATTCACCGTCTAAAAATAATACACAAGAAATAAACGTGATATAACACAATTGTGAACGATTGGTCATTCACCGTCTAAAAATAATACACAAGAAATAAACGTGATATAAAACAAATGTGATACAAACAAATTACCAAGTAACACATGACTAATATCTACTACACAGCAGACTATTCATCATTACCATAACCTCCAGCCATTTAACCCCACAACTGTTTCCCTAACTCATAACCTCAAGCCATTTAACCTCACATATGTTTCCCTAACTCATAACCTCAAGCCATTTAACCTCACAAATGTTTCCCTAACTCATAACCTCAAGCCATTTCACCTCACAAATGATTCCCTAACTCATAACCTCAAGCCATTTAACCTCGCATGTTTCCCTAACTCATAACCTCAAGCCATTTAACCTCACATATGTTTCCCTAACTCATAACCTCAAGCCATTTAATCTAACAAAAGTTTACCTAACTCAGGTCTGAAATGTATATGAACCTCCGTATCAGCCTTGCAGGTCTGTAAGGCCTCCAAAGCTGCATCAATTTCGCTTTGCGACATTCTCTGTATCATCTCTGTATCTCTGCTCGACTCTTCAATTCCCTTCAGACGCAGCTGATTGAAAATGAAAAATCAGTCATCATGACAACTTACATTATAAAACCCAGCGATCCTGACCTCATAGTAGTTCAAATAGATAACAAATTCAGCATAATTCAATTGGACAACAACAAAAACCTTGTAAGACATTTACTTTAATCTTTTGATTTTGGTTTCTTTAAAAGCTTTATGTTCTAAACCCTCCGTTTAAGTACCCGGAATATTCTTTTCTACTTACTCCAATGATATTAAGAGACAGCTGTCTAATCTTTTTAACAAGTGCCATGGTGTCAGAAGAGTTAGTGAGACTGCGCTGACCATTTTCCTGAAGGCTGTAGAGACTGTTGGCGAGGTCGTTAACAGCATTGGCTAGCCTTTCAGCCTCATTCTCACTCTCCTTGTATGCAACCCTGTATCTGTCCAAGTCAACTGGACATAAAAATTGATAAATCTTGAAATCATTAAGTCAAGCAAAGAACCAATCAGAAGTAACGTTCATCCGACCTCATAAACTTCCAACAGTAGGCCAAAACCAAAGCCAGCAGGGTTTGGGATGTAAAGTTTACAAAATCTAATACAACAACAAAACTCCTATCAATACATCATTTGTATACTCCCTTGGTAAACATTACTTTGTTTGACAACCTGAAATGTATCTCAAATTACTCAAAGTAAGACATGTGACATAATCCAGTATACCTCCTCCCACTGGTGCACTTAGTTTTCTATCAAAACAAAATTGATCAAGGCACATCTATTCATCAATTTCACAGAATCTATAGACCAAACTTAGGCTCTGTAAATTACTAAACCATTTTTTGTTGTATACTTACACCCTAAAATGTCAATAACAGCAGCTTGCTCTGTCATTTACCCCAGTTATGTTGACTGCCATGATGTCATCCAAAAGATCAATGGACTGCTTGATGTATGTGTCTATGTTGGTCACCTGGATCCCCCTCAGGATGGTGGCAAGGACATCTTCAACCTCCTGTACAGCCACTGTAAGGTCAAGGTCGTACAAAGGTCATTTTCCAAAATACTACGGTATATAAAGTTACTGGCAAGACAGAAGCAATTGTTTATTTTTCATTTATTTATATTTATTTACTTTTAAATTTTAAATTAAATTAAATTTTAAATTACTTTAAAACTTTTGAAGAATTCTATGGTTGACTCATTTCTGTCTAAATGAAATAAACAGCAGAGACTGACTGGAGTAACATAATCAATACTCCAAGTGCATATGTAAATTAGCACAGCCAATGTCAGCTTAAGATATCTCTAACAGAGTCTTGTTCTATTTCTAGAATTGGTGACCTTGACCTTAAGGAACTTGTACAATCTATATTGTTAATCTCTGTATCAATGGGTAAGACCTTGTGAGATTAAGACAGGTGGATTCTGAGATAATATCCAGAGATGACTGTAGAGAGATGACCAACAGAGGTATGATACTGATTACAACAGTCACCTCTCTGACAGTTAGAAGTGTCAAGATTACATTACAAATACACTACATGTTGTGTTTACTTCACCAAAGAGAGAAGATGGCAGGTCAAAGAAGCAATCTTCATTTTAAGACTTCAACAAAAATTATTGTACTTTTAGGTATTTCAAAATTTTAAGTTATTTATTTCTAAGTCTTTAAGACTTTGTCAGCCATTTCCACTTTGATGTCTTTATACATTTGAAACTGAAAAAAAGAAAGAAATATTTTCTTTTTCTTGTGTACATTTGGGCATCAAATACTATCATCATATCATATTTACCATTAGATCCAGCACTGACATCTTCACTGTTCTGTTCAAGGTCAAGGGCTTTGGTGAGGAATTGTTCAGCTTCCTCCTTTACCAGGCCAGCAGACACTATCTGTGTATTGGACTGTAAGATAAAGAATGTGCACATCATCAATACATATCTAAACTTAGGACACATCCTTGTCACATATTTGGTCATTGCTCTGAATTAATATTTTTGACAAACATGTAAACAAGACAGACAGTGACCCAAAAACAAAAAGGAGTTTAGTGTCCTAATTTGTTTAAAATGTTTCTGTGATGAGAGGAAATAATTCTGCATGGTTAGGGTAAAAAAATTGCCATATAACACAAGTCACCACCGTATCACCATTAGTAAATTACTAACCATCTACATTATTGCAATAGTTTACCTTTGACTTCTTACATGAACCAAAAGATTCACAAATACTGACCATTGCCACGGTGTCATCTGCCAGTTCTGCTTTCATTTTGTCGATCTTAGGCTAGAACCATGGATAGTTATTTTACTTCAAGAACCATGGAGAAAAGATCTTTCACTTCAAGAACCATGGAGGAGAAAAGATCTTTTACTTCAAGAACCATGGAGGAGAAAAGTTATTTTACTTCAAGAACCATGGAGGAGAAAAGTTATTTTACTTCAAGAACCATGGAGGAGAAAAGATATTTTACTTCAAGAACCATGGAGGAGAAAAGATCTTTTACTTCAAGAACCATGGAGGAGAAAAGATCTTTTACTTCAAGAACCATGGAGGAGAAAAGATCTTTTACTTCAAGAACCATGGAGGAGAAAAGATCTTTTACTTCAAGAACCATGGAGGAGAAAAGATCTTTTACTTCAAGAACCATGGAGGAGAAAAGATTTTTTACTTCAAGAACCATGGAGGAGAAAAGATCTTTTACTTAAAGAACCATGGAGGAGAAAAGATCTTTTACTTCAAGAACCATGGAGGAGAAAAGATCTTTTACTTCAAGAACCATGGAGGAGAAAAGATCTTTTACTTCAAGATCTTTTACTTCAAGAACCATGGAGGAGAAAAGATCTTTTACTTCAAGAACCATGGAGGAGAAAAGATCTTTTACTTCAAGAACCATGGAGGAGAAAAGATCTTTTACTTCAAGAACCATGGAGGAGAAAAGATCTTTTACTTCAAGAACCATGGAGGAGAAAAGATCTTTTACTTCAAGAACCATGGAGGAGAAAAGATCTTTTACTTCAAGAACCATGGAGAAAAGATCTTTTACTTCAAGAACCATGGAGGAGAAAAGATCTTTTACTTCAAGAACCATGGAGAAAAGATCTTTTACTTCAAGAACCATGGAGAAAATATCTTTTACTTCAAGAACCATGGAGGAGAAAAGATCTTTTACTTCAAGAACCATGGAGGAGAAAAGATCTTTTACTTCAAGAACCATGGAGGAGAAAAGATCTTTTACTTCAAGAACCATGGAGGAGAAAAGATCTTTTACTTCAAGAACCATGGAGAAAAGATCTTTTACTTCAAGAACCATGGAGAAAAGATCTTTTACTTCAAGAACCATGGAGAAAAGATCTTTTACTTCAAGAACCATGGAGGAGAAAAGATCTTTTACTTCAAGAACCATGGAGGAGAAAAGATCTTTTACTTCAAGAACCATGGAGGAGAAAAGATCTTTTACTTCAAGAACCATGGAGGAGAAAAGATCTTTTACTTCAAGAACCATGGAGGAGAAAAGATCTTTTACTTCAAGAACCATGGAGAAAAGATCTTTTACTTCAAGAACCATGGAGGAGAAAAGATATTTTACTTCAAGAACCATGGAGGAGAAAAGATCTTTTACTTCAAGAACCATGGAGGAGAAAAGATCTTTTACTTCAAGAACCATGGAGGAGAAAAGATCTTTCACTTCAAGAACCATGGAGGAGAAAAGATCTTTTACTTCAAGAACCATGGAGTAGAAAAGATCTTTTACTTCAAGAACCATGGAGGAGAAAAGATCTTTTACTTCAAGAACCATGGAGGAGAAAAGATCTTTCACTTCAAGAACCATGGAGAAAAGATCTTTCACTTCAAGAACCATGGAGAAAAGATCTTTCACTTCAAGAACCATGGAGGAGAAAAGTTATTTTACTTCAAGAACCATGGAGGAGAAAAGTTATTTTACTTCAAGAACCATGGAGAAAAGATCTTTCACTTCAAGAACCATGGAGGAGAAAAGTTATTTTACTTCAAGAACCATGGAGAAAAGATCTTTCACTTCAAGAACCATGGAGGAGAAAAGATCTTTTACTTCAAGAACCATGGAGGAGAAAAGTTATTTTACTTCAAGAACCATGGAGAAAAGACCTTTCACTTCAAGAACCATGGAGGAGAAAAGACCTTTTACTTCAAGAACCATGGAGGAGAAAAGTTATTTTACTTCAAGAACCATGGAGGAGAAAAGTTATTTTACTTCAAGAACCATGGAGGAGAAAAGATCTTTCACTTCAAGAACCATGGAGGAGAAAAGATCTTTCACTTCAAGAACCATGGAGGAGAAAAGATCTTTTACTTCAAGAACCAAAGATTTTACTTCAAGAACCATGGAGGAGAAAAGATCTTTTACTTCAAGAACCATGGAGGAGAAAAGATCTTTTACTTCAAGAACCATGGAGGAGAAAAGATCTTTCACTTCAAGAACCATGGAGGAGAAAAGATCTTTCACTTCAAGAACCATGGAGGAGAAAAGATCTTTCACTTCAAGAACCATGGAGGAGAAAAGATCTTTTACTTCAAGAACCATGGAGGAGAAAAGATCTTTCACTTCAAGAACCATGGAGGAGAAAAGATCTTTTACTTCAAGAACCATGGAGGAGAAAAGTTATTTTACTTCAAGAACCATGGAGAAAAGATCTTTCACTTCAAGAACCATGGAGGAGAAAAGATCTTTTACTTCAAGAACCATGGAGGAGAAAAGATCTTTTACTTCAAGAACCATGGAGGAGAAAAGATCTTTTACTTCAAGAACCATGGAGGAGAAAAGATCTTTTACTTCAAGAACCATGGAGAAAATATCTTTTACTTCAAGAACCATGGAGGAGAAAAGATCTTTTACTTCAAGAACCATGGAGGAGAAAAGACCTTTCACTTCAAGAACCATGGAGGAGAAAAGATCTTTTACTTCAAGAACCATGGAGGAGAAAAGACCTTTCACTTCAAGAACCATGGAGGAGAAAATATCTTTTACTTCAAGAACCATGGAGGAGAAAAGACCTTTTACTTCAAGAACCATGGAGGAGAAAAGTTATTTTACTTCAAGAACCATGGAGAAAAGACCTTTCACTTCAAGAACCATGGAGGAGAAAAGATCTTTCACTTCAAGAACCATGGAGGAGAAAAGATCTTTCACTTCAAGAACCATGGAGGAGAAAAGATCTTTTACTTCAAGAACCATGGAGGAGAAAAGTTTTTTACTTCAAGAACCATGGAGGAGAAAATATCTTTCACTTCAAGAACCATGGAGGAGAAAAGATCTTTTACTTCAAGAACCATGGAGGAGAAAAGTTTTTTACTTCAAGAACCATGGAGGAGAAAAGATCTTTTACTTCAAGAACCATGGAGGAGAAAAGACCTTTCACTTCAAGAACCATGGAGGAGGAAAGATCTTTCACTTCAAGATTTTATCTTGGTTTTTGATGCCCTGATCCTTTTTCTTTACAGAAAATATTATGTACATTACCATATTTAATGGCCATTGGTACCCTTATATAATACACAACACTAGCATTATATACACAGGGCATTGGTAGTTCTGATTTATTTATCAAAACTGTTATCAAAATATCAGGTTAAATCGTTAAAAAGAAAATGAAAATGTCCGATTCTATCACCGTTTTTCACTTTGATTTCTGTAACACACTTTAATAGAAACTTGACTAAAAACATACTCCATTAATGGCGACTGAATCGTTGATGGCTTGCAGACGCTTCATGGCTGTCACTCCAACAGAGACTGTTGCCAGGTTACCGGTCAAGCTGGTTAGATTTCTATCCATGAATTCCAAGTCATCCAGCAAAATGTGCACACAATTGTCACAGGCTAGAATACAAAGAGGGGATGGAACAGATAAGCTGCCATTGTTAATGACGTTAATGACCTAAAGACAGCGTAAAAATATCGCCATGACATCATTTTGTGTTTTCATTGATTCATTATTTTATGTTAATTGTAGCCTAAATCCTTTTTGACAACAGAAGTACAAGCAGTTTACTTCAAAAAATAAAACAAAGTACTGACAAAAAGTTCTTTTAATAGTTTTTTTAATGAGGTTATCTTTCCTCATGGGTGAAGAGACAACTTACGACGGCATCCCTCATTAGGTACGAGGATCCAGCGTGGAAGGCATCTATCACACCTTTCACCAGTGACACCCTCCAGACACTGACACACCCCAGTAAATGGATTACAGGTCATAGCACCATCTGCCTCACAGTCACACTCTGTACACACACAGCAACATGATAATCCACTTTACTCCACTTTATATTGTTGCTATATTGTTGCCATTAAAAGCATCAGTTAACTGTTTAGTAATATGTATAGTGAATATGTATAGTGAAACCCACTTAATGTCACTTCTGTTAATGTCACTTTCCAGTTAATATCACATTTTCTTGAAACACATGTTTCTATGTATTACCATTATTTTCCATATGCCATTTTCATGACATCTGTTTGGCAATTAAAAATAAGCACTTACATTAATAGTCAGAGAAACATGGCGTTTCAAAGTTGAACAATTCACACTCTGTTAGCTTTTTTTTTTGTGGTAATGCTTGAGCTGCGATCTTCAGATCACATTTGATCAAAGTTGCAGAGATAAACACTGTACATATATCAACTTTGCTATGATACACCATTATAAAGCCTATATATCAAAGAATGAATGAATTATGTGGCAAAACATCAGCTGATGACAAGTGTCATGTATGAACCACATATAAATGGAATATTACACAATGATGACATCATCATTCAAGATAATTCATGATTCCAATTTAGGTATTTCAAAGAATAAACAAATGAAAGCTATGGAAACTCATTGTTCTTATGGGAAAAACAAATAATTTCAATTGTTTTACCTACAAACAATTTCTGTTAGTTTGGCACATCAGAGAATTAACTTCTGGGTTAAGACGTCCGGAAAAAAATGTGTCAACTTTTTATGTCACATTCCACTTATTATCACATTTTCCCCCAACAAATGGAACATGATATTCAATGGGTTTCAATGTACATGTATCATAGAAATTTTATTTTAGAAACAGCTTTTATCTTGCTATCTGACTGTTATCCTGTGAATTAACCCCCTTGTAAATTTTTCACATATATGCCACGAGTATATATCTTTATCCTTATTTATCCTGGAGCATTTTTCATCGACTGCATCATTATGAAATTGATTGCGATGTCACAATCTGGACAAGGACATTACTTCAAGAAGTGGAAATGGCACAACAATATGGCCACCGTCATTTGATATTGCCCTCCACATTTTACCATTAAATCCGTCAAAGTGAAATATTTTTGATTTATGTGATAAAAAGTATTTTCAATTTTGTTTTCATTTCATATATTTCATCAAAGTTGTCTCACAAGTTTTAATTTTTGCAATAAAAACTTTTTGATGTTAAGAAATTGAAAATGATTGTTCTCACTTTGACAACCAGTTGCAGTATAGTCGAAGAAGCCGTCCATACACTCATCACACATCAGGCCTGTAACACCTGGCTGACAGGAGCATTGTCCACTGACAAGGTCACACTGAAGGCTGGTGGCGGCTAGTCCACAGTTACAGTCCCGACAACCCTCGCAGTTGTCAAATCCATATGTGTTGGGCTGTGCATTGAATTAAATACCTTGGATTTCTTACTTATATAATGGGAGTTCATCAATTATCAAATTTATACCAAACTAATGAAAACAATTTTGAGAGAAAAAAATCATGGAATTCATTCGTTTAATTTAAAACATATTTCTTAATTCCAGTAGATTTGAAAGAAAAATTGACGTCAAGTGTAATTGTAAAGAAAAACTGATACAGACTATCCTGAATTCTCCATCATGCAATAAGTACTAAAAGTAAGTAATTCTACTCACTGCACAGCTATCGCAGTCCTCGCCCTGCACATTTGGTTTACACATACACTGTCCTACAGCGTTGTCACACAGCTGAGAACCACATTGGTCACAGGTACAGGCTGTAAGGACACAGGTGTTATAATTATAGTACAGGTTATACAGTGGCACTTACTACAGGTAAAATACAGGTATACAGGCTGTAAGGACACAGGTGTTATAATTATAGTACAGGTTATACAGTGGCACTTACTACAGGTAAAATACAGGTATACAGGCTGTAAGGACACAGGTGTTATAATTATAATATAAAGTATACAGAATGTCTGGAAGTATTCGCCCTACAGAACAGGTTAATGCCATACTGATATTTTCATTACTGTAATGAATCGAAGGAACATTTCCAATACCTTGACAATTTTTGGCTTCAACAGCATCACCATACCACCAATCACGACACCGAGAACAGTCGACGCCTGTTGAGTTGTTGTCACACATAAGACATGCACCAGTCACCTCGCTACAGGAGCCGCGGTTGTTCATATCAATATTTCCGGAACATTGACACATTTCACAATGACCGCCCTCCTCATTGGGATTGCCATAGTAACCTGGGGCACATCTACAAAACGGGAGATAATCAGAAACTGTATTTTTTTGTATGTTCCATGGATATGACATTAAGTGCGATTTCAGTAGAAATGACAATAAATTCTATATCAATGTCCTGTAATAAGCCCACCTATATGTTAGTATTCATGTATTGTTCTCAATCTATATATCTAGTTCATAGCAGGATAAAATAAAATAGACAGAGGGATACACCATTTGAGATCTTGATGATTTGTTTATTTTTTTTTGTGTGTTACAGGTGTTGTAAATGTTCATGAACTGGTCTTCATTGAATGTACTCAATGATGGCACAAGATATTTTTATCAAGCACCTATTAGCAAATATCATTTGAAAAAGATCAAAGTATTATTAGATTCTTACAGATGGATAATTGTTTATTTTTTTTTGTGTGTTACAGGTGTTGTAAATGTTCAATGAACTGGTCTTCATTGAATGTACTCAGATGATGGCACAAGATATTTTTATCAAGCACCTATTAGCAAATATCATTTGAAAAAGAACCCAAAGTATTATTAGAAATAGCAGTAACAAACTTTTACATTCAAAACAGGTGGATAATGGACAATATGCTTGTGCATATGAAATTTGAGAAAGATCCATCCAGTACTTTTCCAGAAATAGCGGTAACAAAGTTTTACATCCAAAATCCAAGATGGCCAGCTGTTGGCCATCTTGAATGCGAATGTGTCCAAATAAGGTTAAATGCACAACTAGGGACCAAGGGAAACCAATATCATATGAAATTTGAGAAAGATCCATCCAGTACTTCCTCAGATATAGCAGTAACAAACTTTTACTCTCCAAAATCCAAGATGGCTGCCTGTCAGCCATCTTGATTTCGGATCAGTCCAAAAAAGGTACAATGCACAACTTGGCACCAATGGGAACCTGCATATGAAATTTGAGAAAGATCCATCCAGTACTTTCCAAGAAATAGCAGTAACAAACTTTTACATCCAAAATCCAAGATGGCCACCTGTCGGCCATCTTGAATTTGAATCAGTCCAAAAAAGGTACAATGCACAACTAGGGACCAAGGGGAACCTGCATATGAAATTTGAGAAAGATCCATCCAGTACTTTTCCAGAAATAGCGGTAACAAAGTTTTACATCCAAAATCCAAGATGGCCACCTGTCGGCCATCTTGAATTCGAATCAGTCCAAAAAAGGTACAATGCACAACTAGGGACCAAGGGGAAACTGCATATGAAATCTGAGAAAGATCCATCCAGTACTTTCCAAGAAATAGCAGTAACAATCTTTTACATTCAAAATCCAAGATGGCTGCCTGTCGGCCATCTTGAATTCGAATCATTCCAAAAAAGGTACAATGCACAACTAGGGACCAAGGGGAACCTGCATATGAAATTTGAGAAAGATCCATCCAGTACTTTTCCAGAAATAGCAGTAACAAACTTTTACATCCAAAATCCAAGATGGCCACCTGTCGGCCATCTTGAATTCGAATCAGTCCAAAAAAGGTACAATGCACAACTAGGGACCAAGGGGAAACTGCATATGGAATTTGAGAAAGATCCATCCAGTACTTTCCAAGAAATAGCAGTAACAAAGTTTTACATCCAAAATCCAAGATGGCCACTTGTTGGCCATCTTGAATGCGAATCAGTCCAAAAAAGGTACAATGCACAACTAGGGACTAAATTTGAGAAAGATCCATCCAGTACTTTCCAAGAAATAGCAGTAACAAACTTTTACATCCAAAATCCAAGATGGCTGCCTGTCGGCCATCTTGAATTCGAATCAGTCCAAAAAAGGTACAATGCACAACTAGGGACCAAGGGGAAACTGCATATGAAATTTGAGAAAGATCCATCCAGTACTTTTCCAGAAATAGCGGTAACAAACTTTTACTTCCAAAATCCAAGATGGCCACCTGTCGGCCATCTTGAATGCGAATCAGTTCAAAAAAGGTACAATGCACAACTAGGGACCAAGGGGAACCTGCATATGAAATTTGAGAAAGATCCATCCAGTACTTTTCCAGAAATAGCGGTAACAAGAATTGTTTACGGACGGACGGACGGACGGACGGACCACGGACGCAGGGCGATTTGAATAACCCACCATCTATTTGAATAGATGGTGGGCTAAAAAAATGTGACTAGCTTCATAAATCACACATGAAATAAATGTAAGATCTTTATTATCACATGATCAAATTACTTTTAGTATAATTACTTGAGCAAATATATTGCAGAAGACATACATTTACATACATGTCGAAATTGAACTCAACCTGTATTGGTATAACACTGGCCACTTCCATTGTTACGTCATAATAGAGACTTCATTTCTCTACCAAAAATGACGTCACATTAAGCTACAGTACATTAGTTACAAATAGCAAAAATATATCATGAACATATTTGTCTAATATCAAGATAATTATGTGATGAATATATACATTCTTGTGTATATATATATATAAGGGTGTGTGCGTATGTTAACATTCATGACCCTCACACCAGGAAATTTTTAAGTACATGTGTTTCTAAAAAACGTATATGTTTGAAAATAGAATACAAATATATTAGAATAGATGTATATATAATGCCATGGTTTTAGAAAATATCTGTATCAATTTGTTTTTCAAATCAGTGTTTATGTGCTATTGGAGCATGTGGGGATTTGAATATACAAAGGTAGTTCAGTTTGTGAAGGCTCACATACCTAAATTGTCCTTAATACTTCAGGATTTCAACGTACTGGTTTTGGATGAGGCAGTGCTTGCTCTTGCAAGGTTGTACAGAAATGATGTCCTTGTCCTAAATGAAGAAGTTGACTTGATGAAGGCAAATAGGCACCAAGGATATAGACAGTTTATTCTTTGGCAGCATGGGTGGCTTGGCACTGGGAATCGCAGGGTGATTCCAGGCTGCTGTGTTTGGAGAATCCGTGATGGATATCCGGATCCCTTTGGCCAGTACAAAGGATTTGTCCCTGGACGACTTGCCTGATAAATGTTTGTTTTGACTTATGGTGCTAGATAATGTGTGATGGTGTAACTGATGGTGCTAGATATTGTGTAATGTGTGGTGATGTGACTGGTGATGCAAGCTATGTAATGTGTGTTGGTGTGACTGGTGGTACAACCTACTGTGTACAATGTGTTGGTGTGACTGATGGTGCTAGCTACCGTGTAATGTGTTGGTGTGACTGATGGTGCAAGCTACCATGTAATGTGTGACTGATGGTGCTACATATTGTAAAATGAGTGTTGGTGTGACTGATGGTGCTAGCTACTGTGTAATGTGTTGGTGTGACTGATGGTGCTAGCTATGTAATGTGTGTTGGTGTGACTGGTGGTACAACCTACTGTGTACAATGTGTTGGTGTGACTGATGGTGCAAGCTACCATGTAATGTGTGACTGATGGTGCTACATATTGTAAAATGAGTGTTGGTGTGACTGATGGTGCTAGCTACCGTGTAATGTGTTGGTGTGACTAATGGTGCTAGCTACTGTGTAATGTGTGGCCGATGGTGCTAGCTACCGTGTAATATGTGATGGTGTGACTGATGGTGCTAGATACTGTACAATGTGTGTTGGTGTGACTGATGGTGTTAGCTGAAGTGGAATTACTGTAATATGCAACGAGACATACGATACCTAGTATATTAAAGAATGGACTTCCTGATTTTTTCTTCTGTTATTACTTTTTTCACTTATTACAATTTTAATAAATGTTTTCGTGTCCTATAACACCCAGGTCATTTCAGGATATGCCATATTTGGATGGCGTAGAAAAGGTGGAGAAAAATCACCATATGATGAGCACATGGCACCTGCCCAACGAGTCTCAAACTTGTCGACTCAAGAGGATGAGGATGTTACTTTGACCTCTAGCCCCGGCATCTGTCATGCTCCAAATCAAAATGGCTCTATGGACTGTGACATGCATATAGTGAATAAGTACTGGTAGTGTTTTGATGTAACAGCAGACTTCCCTGTCGATTTCATGTTACTAGCATGGTATAACAGTCAAAAGTAAAAAATACTTGTGGTGCCATTATATGATTATTGTAACATAAAATTCAAATGCTTCAGTGATTTTATAGTGTTTCTTCAAGAGAAATATATCTGATGATTTTTTTAGCTTTCTAGCTCTGCTCTAGACCAGAATATGTCAACTTATAGAGAACTGCATATAATGACCAAACAATCATTGTAGAAGTTTCCATGGTACAGTTTCCAAGCCAAAACACAATATCCTGGTAAGAGTGATTCAAAGAAATATTTCAAACTGGAAAGGGTAACTTGCAAAATTTATTAATCATCTCCAGGCATATACAATTTGGTAAAGCATACTTTATTTTCATTCACAACCCCAATATTGTACATATTTCAAGAGACCATTTATGATCACTTACTTTCGTACGCCGTTAATTTTCATAAGATACAGTATCAAACGTGCATTACACATAGTAACTGTCAGGCTCTACACACACACTCCCAAAATTATAATACATGCCCCAAAACACGCACACACTCCAACATCATACAACATGAGGCTTTACCCCACACATAAACATTCCCACATTATGCTGCAATCACCACAAATACAAAACCAACATTATACAACTGATCCTACACATACACATACCAAAATGATTGTGAATGGGCCATCATAACTCTCTTGAAAGGTATTTTGTAAAGATTACTTTGGGGGGCACAAGTCCTTGTTACACTGATCAATAACACAAAATTTCAGAAAGATAATTTTCACTTTTCAGTCTCTTTTTTCCGTGTCATTTGTTGAGACACAAGCTCCTTTGTTGCCTTTGGACTTACTGGAGCAAGATGT